AGTCTACAAAGCAGAATTTTTTTTTTTTAATAACCCAAGGAGATAATTTAACATTCTTTACAGGTATATTTCACCAAAAAGTAGCCATCAGAGAAGGCCCTTTCCAGTTTATTTCATCATTTAGGAAGAGGGTCTTAAACAAGGGTCTGTTCTATCGAAGAAGTGAGCTCATGCTGGTGTAATGGTATCTGTGTAAATCCAGCAACATAACAGTGGCTGCAGCGATGAGCCCTTAGGCACTTAGCAAGGATTTGCCAAGGAGCCTAAGGGCTGATACACACTTGAAACTCAATGGGATTTAGGTGCCTAAATGCATTAGGCTGCTTAGAAAATCCCAGTCTTTGAAGTTAAAGTAGGCACTAACAAAAAATGGCTAAAAAAAACTTAAAATAATAAATTTCAGATTAATGCCACCATGAAGGCAGTTGATTTACACCCAAAACAAGGCAGCAGGAGGTGGCCACTGAAGGCAACAGAGAGATTCCACCAGCACGAAGGTTCAGAAGAGCTCCATCTCTGGTGTTTGCCATTCCATCAGGAATTGCAATAGGGCCCCTCTGAATCATTTCCATCTCTGATGGTGTCTGCTTGAGTGGGAATTTGGCTGGTGGAAATCCACCTCGTGAGAGTGTATGTGGAAAACACTAGAAATGTCTTTTTTTTGGTTGAGGAGAATCTTAGGGCATTAAAAGTTGGAGAACTCATCTTCATTATTTCTCTTTAAAGTTAGTTATGAATTGAGAATGGCTCTGCTCATATTTCTCTTTTATTTGCTATCTCCCCAGGCTAAAGTGTTGTCTATTTATCTTACAGATTAGGTTACTTTTTATGGGGTTCCTGCTATTATATTTCACCTCTAACTTTGTTAGTTTGTGTTTGCTATTAAATTATGTTGAATAAAATGGGCGGCTGAAGGACATTTTTCAGCTCCATCCTGAAATGAGGTTCTTAATCCTGTTTCTGGGTCTGCCCCTGTAGCCCAGCCCATGGAGACAGAATTGGGTACGTAAGAAGGGCAGCAGAGGAGTGTTTGTATCAGCTACAGGGTTTGAAGGGTGAAGCTGCAGGAGAATCGTGCCTGTAAAGTCAGTCAGTTCATGTACAGTGATTTTGGAGGCATCTCTTTAGAAACGGGTTCTAATAATATTGACATCATCACAAGATAAGATCCAGGACTAGTTAAATCACAGCCTCGCAACTCAGCGTTCCTTTGAGGATTAGAAGAAGTCACCGAGCTGTCACTCTAAAGCTGATCATGGACTCGTTTAACTATGTCATCCCATAAGACAGCCCTTTCAATTATGTCAACCTGTCTGCTCTCCCAAGACTCTAATTTTAGAGCAGCAGTAGCTAATATTCTTGGAAAACTGATCCGCCTCCACAGATCTCTCCTCTCTGCCTGCTGCTGTTAACGGAGTATCCTGTGGGGAGATCGGACTGCTTTACTTCCCCTCCTGTAATAAACCTAATAAAAATAGGTACCATTAGGTTCCTTTGTGTGTGGTCTCTTTAAGACACTTATTTGAGCTATGTAATGGAGATGTCATGTCTCCTCCACAGAGAGATCTGGCAGCACCACAGGGTCATTGCAATAAAAATAAAATTCAGTTTTAAGAGCCAGGTACAAAATTATGAGCTGAAAAGCAGGACACTGGGATTGGAGTTCAGAGACCTAGAAAAGGCAAATATGAGCTGGAGTCACCCAAATGTTAATGCCACAGAGGTGGCTCTGCAGCTGGAGCAACAAGCACCGTGCTGGTGCAGGAGGACCACAGGCAATGAGGCAGCCCTGGGGACAACCAGGGCCAGGGGAGTTGTCTGTGTCCTCTGGATGGTGTTGGGAGGAGCTGGGGGCACACAAGGTGGAGAGGAGGTGGATGGACCTGGTTGTCTTGGCCATGGGCATGTCTGTGCCATGCTGCCTGTTATAACCCAGGGAGGTGGGAAGGGAACAGACCCTGCATCGAGAGATAGGATGGAACCACATCCTCAGCTCCCCATCCATGTCATGTCTGTGGCTGGCAGTGATGTTGGACAATTGTTCTCCTGCCATCCCATCAATGTCCCTCTGGCTTCACAGGCTGGCAGCACAGGAGAAAACAAAGTTGCCCTTGGGCTGTCCCATTTGGGTTTTCCACTGTGCCAGCCACGGTGTTGAAAAGTAGCACAGACTTTCTTCAGCCATGCAATTAGAGCTGCCACTACAGAGGGAGCAGGGAAGGCTTTTGAAGACCTTCTCTCTCTCTTCTGAGCAGCGTGACAGTGCCTTCAGCTGTGTCAAGTCTCCCTTGGCCATTGTTCCTTTGTGCTTGGCCTCTTCCAGGCTGGACTGGAGGTACTGGAGATTGGAGATGTGCAGGTCTGAGGCTGCCAGAAGATTTTCTGTTTTCTTCAGAGCAATTCTAGGTTTCTCCAAAATGACTCGTGGGGGCCCTGGTTGAAGGAGCAAACATCCATGAACCTGAGGAAGGCTGTGATCCTCTTCAGAGGTGTTTTATTCCCCCTTTGGGATGCAGTGTGGGTCCACCATGCTGGCATGGTGGGGTGGACAGTGGTGTTTAATAGCCCACCAAGAGGCAATCTCATGGACTGGAGGGAGAGGTAGGGAAGGACAAAGAGCAGAAGCATGGGACAAGGGAAAAAGCAATAGCCCTCCTCCCCTAAAAAACTAGAAAGGAAGTAGAAGGGATGGATGGGGAATGAGGAGGCAGAGAGTCCATGCAGAGGCAAGGGAGGGACGTATCCCCATCCATCCCACCCAGTGTCACCACTGTGGTGCTGAAGGGACCAGGCCTTCCCTGTGCAGATCAGGTTACATAAAACTAACACTCTGCAGGCTGCCAGGGAACGGTACCTCCCCCAGACTCCAGCAAGTTAGTTACACATAGCCTTCCTTTCATAAATCCATGTTGGCTGCCCCTAATCAAATTCTGCTTCTCAAGCAATTTCCCTTGCTAATTCCTCCCGAATCAGCCCTAACCCACCTATCCTCCTTGTTGCTAAGCTAGCCAGCCTCTAATCACATGCTGCACTGTGTGATCCTTTCCCAAGTAACACAGGGTTCGGCACTTTCCTCTGGTTCTCAGCAGCCTAACCTGTCAGGAGCAACCTTCTAAAAATATCACTAAAGACCTCGGCTAATTTCTAATCCTCATTTCTATTAAGACGGCTGCCTGTACTATGTGGGTTTCCAGACTTGGGATTTACAGACTTCCTTAAGAGCATCTGGTCTGCGCAGAGCCATTTCTGTTGTTATCCATATGCAAACTCCTCCCTTCCCCACCATAAAACATGATCCCTTTGGCAGTGGCTCTCCAGTCTGCAGGGCAGCATCAGCCAGCCAGCAAAGACACCAACCTCTTCCTCTCTGCTCAGCTCACCCTGACGCTTTTTGGCAAGCCTTCACTGGGGTTCCACTCCTGTCAGGCACTGGGTAGGCGCTTTGTATGAAAAGAATCAGCCTACAAGCTCAGCAGGACATGTGATTTTCTTTGCAATTCCCAAGTTTTTGAGTGCTGTGTAAATCGTGTAACGGAGCTGATGTATAGATGTATAATGGAGCAGAGCTCTTGAAGTACCTTGGGTTACTGGACTTTCTGTTACTGTTTGTATTTGGATATTTTTTACTGTTTCCTCCTTTTTAATATGCCCCTGTCTGCAGCTGCCAGAACCAGCCAAGTCAAAAGAACAAGCAAAGTGGGGGGAGAGTGCCATGCTCTGGCTGTGCCCCTCCACCCTGGCACACACCAGCTAGCTGGTTCAGCTCAGGCAAGGGAAATCCTTCAGTCACATGCCACTGGCCAAAGACCTGTGGCAGAACACAGTGCACTGTCAGCGCAGTTGTTCTGTGGAATAAGGGCTTTGAATGAGGAGATTTGGTAATTTTATGGGTTCAGGAGGAAAAATTAAATTAAGTGGGAAGGCCCGGGAAGAGCGTCTGGCTGATGACATGGCATAATTTTAATCTAGCAGGACTGTGCTCTTGGGAAGAGCACCAAGTGGGTGTGCTGTAAACTGGCACCCACAGCAGGAGTCACAGGGATATCACGTGGCTGGGTGACGTGGAAGATGGAGGAGTGACACATGCCATTCCCAGAGTTCAACAGCACAAACTGACCTTCACAATCAGTCAGCATATGCCTTCCTAAAGCTCCCCTTTGACCTCATGGCTCCACTCAGCATCTGAGTCATGTACTACAGCAGAGTCAGGTGTTTTCTGGGGAGAGCAGGGGCTGAACAACATTTCTCAGTCCTGTAACAAATGTCATCAAACCAACAGTCCTCACCTCCCCTGTGCAAAGCCAGTCTGTTACACACCTTCAAAGATCAACATTTCTGAAACACACCTTGATCCCAAGGTGCCTTGTCAAAGTGAGATAAGCATTTAAAGACAGAGACCAACTGGAAAAGTTTTTATTCGGTTGACTTGTGCAAATCCACAGCTGCAGCTGATGCTTGTCCACCCTGACCAGTCAGCACACACTGAAGTCCTGCAATGGGGCCCTGAGCATCAGCCTGTTGTGACTGAATTCATGCTCTCATCAAGCTCTCTGGATTTATTTTGAAGTTTGGAAGTAACATAAGATAAGCATCACAATCCAGAGGGATGGTGCAGCAGCTGAAGTCTTGATGAAAAAACAAAATAAAAATGGAAAAGGCAAAGGGCTGATGCACTCCAGTGTGCTCTGGAGCACACCAGCCCAACATTTTCTGTGTCATTCTCCCTTATTTGAGACGTGTCCCACAGGCAGGACAGCCCTGCACTCTCATCCCTTTGAGCGCCTGTACAACAGGGAATTTGCAGGAATGGGAATGCTTGCGTCTCCCTGGGGAAGCTGGAGAGCCCTTGTCTTCATCACCACACCATCTCACCACCACCCTCGAACTCATCTCCACGCCCTTCCCCAGGCCCTGTTGCCCCAGCTCCTTTCCCATCCCAATGCCCATCCCCATCTTCATCCTCACACCCATCTCC